GCAGTAGTTCTAGTATAGGCCGGCGGGCAAGCAGTTAAATGTTAAGTGTACCTACCCACCCTAGCCTGTTTCACATTCTTGTAGTGAACCTTCATAAATTTCTAACTTTCAAACTATGGCGTCGTCTTATAATTCCTGTCATAAGTAAGCCACAAAGATATTATTTTTTAGTCTTTTAAACATATTGCCTATAGGAATAAACTGTGTAGTAATGTGCACATAAAATCAATTTGAAACACTTCCATTTATGTTCTGTCTTCTGTTGACATTTCCTCTCAGCATATGTGATATGACTGGAAAATGGAGTGTTACAATGAAGTATTTTTATATTTCAAGAATGTGCTTGGTTTTTTCCAGATTTAATAAAATCTCAATATAGTCACTGTTAACCATATTTTCATTAATATGAATATTCTTTGAGATTTTCAAAGCCAGCAGATTCTAATATCTAGTTGTGGCTTACATAAACTGCCCCATAAAACTGTACTGCAATAAGTTTATACATTTACATCCTTATGCTGTACTAGTAGTGCCATTACGGCCAACAGTTTCATATAATCTAAACTTTTCCATTATTACTTCTGGGGATGAGAGGAGTGATGTAACCACATTTTATTTTTCAATGAAATAAACAATTTTGGTTTCACAAAAATTGTGCCAAAATTAACCTCAAATGTCACCACGCAGGCAAAAGGTAGCATTAATTTGCTTTCTAATAAAGCCATGTGATTACCAGTTCATCACTGATAGAGTAATCACATGGCTTTATTGATAAACAATTTATCACTAGCTCAGTGCTGATGGTGATCACATGGCTATGAACAGGTTTTACATTTTAAGTGATTTCTTTTTTGTTTCATAAACGTTTATTGAATCATCAATGAACAGTGTGTTGCAAGTAATTTTTGTTGCCAGTAACAGTGTTTCAGTAAAACTGAGTTTAGGCTTCCTTTACTTAAAGCAGACCTCTATTTAAATAGAAGATCCACTTTTTTGCTAGCCCCTTGCCCCCCAAATACAAATTACTTTAAAAAGTTGTTACTGAAAAAAGCATTCCTCCAAAAATGTTAACAAAAAAACCTCAGCATGAATTAACCTTTCTGATGCTTCCTCCTGTGCAAATCCCAAGAGAATGCCCTCCAGCCCAAATAGTGCATTCTCATGAGATTTTGAGTCTCCAGATTTACCCCAAAGCATGGGTGATGCCACCCATGTTTCCTAGAAGTATTATAAGCTAGGGCTAGGGTGAAGGGTTTGTACAAAATGAACCTTCCAATTTCATGGACATTTTCCTTAACCTCCCTAGCAGTCTGATTATGTCCGTATTTCTGTGCTGAAAGCAGTACATTTTTTTGCATGGAAATATGGATTTTTTTTATTGTAGACCAGTAATTTTTAGGAATAACTCACTGAAACCTGTCCGAACAAGAGTCTAGTAAACATCCCGGGTATGTTAAAATTTGAAACACGAAATCATAAATTATAATTTAATAAATAATCATAAAAAATAATAATATAATAATAATAAATTTAATTCAATAATATAATCAAACCAAAAAACACTGAAATTTGAAATATAGCACCAAGTTCGCACATCACTGAGCAAAGTCCCAAAATCGTTTTCAGTGTCTGATGACGAATTTCCCCACGAATCATTATCACTCAATTCTGCAAGTGGTTCTAATTTACTATCGCTGTTCTCTAGCTGGTCTAAAAATCGCTTTTGACCTAAAGGGACACCTTTTCGACGCCTTGGACGTTTCTCAGTTTCCAGGCAATAAGAACAGTAAAAATGCAGGCAGGGCACAGGACAAAGCACTAGGGACAAAATGTATGTGAAATGGTTTGATACAGTAATGTTTTACTATGTGATTTTAGTGTAGTGAATGTCACTTTTTGTCATTTTCAAATTTCCCGCCAGTTCCGTCCCCCGTACGTCCCGGCGCTCACAGGGGACGGAACCTAGATGACAGATGCCGGCATCCGCCGGATTACATTGCCGGGGACACTGCAGGAGGGACATCGCGGGAGCGCAGGACAAGGTAAGTGAAGAACAGATGCCGGAGCAGCGCCGCATGGTAAGCCGGAGTGTAGCTCGGGGTTACCGCTTTTGGTACTGAAACCATTACCCCGAGCTACACTCGGGAATACCGTCAGGGAGGTTAAGTAAGGAAAACCAAACCCATTTTCACTAAAACAGTTCTTAATTGTAACAACAGCAAGAATGATGCTCACTGATATGCAAAATAATATGCTTCCTTTAATAAAATAGCCAGAAGGTGGAAGTCAGAAGGTGGAAGTCTTTTTCAGACATGATTTGTGTTAAGCGCAGCACTTTTTTGTCAGCAACTTTAATGTCTTTTTTTGGCTTTATTAGCACATGATTGCTTGTAAATGTTGAAGTTTTTATTCATATAAATTTTTTGAACTCTGAAAATTAGATATATGTATTTATATAACATATGAACGCTTGATTGCCTCATTCTTCTGAATATGTGCATTGAGAAATGCATTGAGAATACAGCTACCTCTTATGTGCTTATGTAATGTGGACCAAGCAAATTGATTAAATGAATGACATACAATTGACATATTTAAGTACATGGGTATGGTCTGTGAGGATACTTGTACGGAGGCAGAGGGTTCTTTTACCTGTAATTATACAGAGCTCAGCTTAAATGAGTACACCCCTTTTGAAAAGTAAGATTTTAATCAATATCTCAATGAATACAAGAACAATTTCCAAAATTATGACAAAACTGAGCTTTACAGAACATGTGTTTAGTTCACTACATGAAAGTAAGGTTAATAATATAACTTACATTACAAAATCTTCAGTTTTACTCAAATCGGTTGATGCAAAAATAAATACACCCCACAACAAAAACTCTACTGTACACCTAGTATTTTGTATGACCTCCATGATTTGTAAGGACAGCACCAAGTCTTCTAGGCAATGGAATGAACAAGTTGGAGACATATTGCAACATCTATCTTTTTCCATTCTTCAAGAATGGTGGAGAGTGATGCTCAGCTTGTCTCTTCAGAATTTTCCATAGGTGTTTAATTGGGTTCAGATCAGGAGACATACTTGGCCACTGAATCACTTTCACTCTGTTATTCTTCAGAAATGCAGCAGTGGCTTTAGATGTGTGTTTTGGATCACTGTCATGTTGGAAAACTGCACGAGGACCAAGGGAATGGAGAGATAGTAGCATCTTCTCTTTCAATACAGAGCAGTATATCTGTGAATTCATAATACTATCAATGAAATGCAGCTTCTCGACATCAGCAGCACTCATGCAGCCCCACAGAAGGACACTGTCACCATCATGATTCACTAAAGGCACCATGCATTTTTCTTTGTACTTTGTGGTGCCATACATTTTTTGAAGCTATCAGTTCCAAAAACAGTTATCTTTGTCTCATCATTCCAGAATACAAAGTCCCAGTAGTCTTCTTCTTTTTTCAGCATGGCAAAGTCCCGGCAAGATTTTTTTGTGCATGGCCTTTAGGAGAGGCTTCTTTCGTGAACGACACCCATGCATACCATTCCTCTGCAGCGCATGGTGTATTGTGTCACAGGAAACAGTCACCACAGTTTGGCTCTCTACTCCTTTAGTTAACTACAGAGAACTTGCTTGGTGATTTTCTTCAACCCTTTTCATTAAAAGACGCTCCTGTCAAGGTGTTAAATTCTGTGGATGGCCTGGACGTCTCTGTGAGATGGTTGCTGTTCCATCTTTGTATCGCTTTTCCTTCAGTATTTTGACTGATAAGAAAAGCTTTGCTGATCTTCTTGTAGCTTTCACCTTTCTTGTGTAAAGAAATTATTTTCTTTCTCAGGCCTTGTGACATTCTTTTCCATGTGGTGCCATTGCTGACAGCATAAAATGGGAAAGGGTTTTCTTTGTTAAGTAACGCCCTTTTATAATCAACTGTCTACTGGACACCTATTTAATGAATTAGACTCACCTGTAGTTGAATTCTTGTTAATTAGGATTTTGTTATCTAAAATTTAGCTTTGCTCCTAAGTCTTTCATTGGGGTGTATTCATTTTTGCAAAATGGTCTTGAATTAATTTGTTAAGAAAAATACTTTTTTGTGATTGCAAATTAACAAATATTGTTTGCAATCAATGGCCCACATTAGTGGGAGTATTTTGTAGCATAGTGTCCCACAGAAAATGCTGATTCTGAAAGGAAAGGAAAGGTTTTCTGACAAATCTGTTGGGGTGTACTCATTTATGTTGAACACTGTAAGTCAATGTAAATTCTAAGCATATACTATAAATTGCATATTATAATTTTTGTTTAATAAAAAAAGTTTAATTTGATATATGGTTTTATGTTTTAACTTGGCACCTTGAAAGTTACTAAATTACGTTGAAAGGGGTCTTGTTTTTGATATGGAAATTTATGGATGTGGTGCCCTAGGCCACCCATCATACGAACATAAAATATACTATATTGCCAAAAGTATTGGGACGCCTGCCTTTACTCACACATGAACTTTAATGTCATCCCAGTCTTAGTCCATAGGGTTCGATATTGAGTTGGCCCAACATTTGCAGCTTTAACAGCTTCAACTGTTCTGGGAAGGCTGTCCACAAGGTTTAAAAGTGTGTCTATGGGATTGTTTGACCATTCTTTCAGAAGCGAATTTGTGAGGTCAGGCACTGATGTCAGACGAGAAGCCCTGGCTCACAGTCTCTGCTCTAATTTATCCCAAAGGTATTCTTATGGGTTGAGGTCAGGACTCTGTGCAGGTCCACCTCCACCCCAAACTCGCTCATCCATGTCTTTATGGACCTAGCTTTGTGCACTGGTGCACAGTCATGTTGGAACAGGAAGGAGCCATCCTTAAACTGTTCCCACAAAGATGGGAGTATGAAATTGTCCAAAATGTCTTGGTATGCTGATGCCTTAGGAGTTCCCTTCACTGGAACTAAGGGGCCAAGCCAAACCCCTGAAAAACAACCCCCCCTCCTCCACAAAACTTTACACTTGGCACAATGCAGCCAGACAAGTACTGTTTTCCTGGCAACCGCCAAACCCAGACATCAGTTTTCCAGCCAGAAAAACATGCTTTGTCACTCCAGAGAACATGTCTTCACTGCTCTAGAGTCCAGTGCTTTACACCACTACATCTAATGCTTTGCATTGCACTTGGTGATGTAAGGCTTGGATGCAGCCATGGAAACTCATTCCATGAAGCTCTCTACGCACTGTTGTTGTCCTAATCTTAGGCTACACAAAGTTTGGAGGTCTTTAACTATTGACTCTGCAGACAGTTGGTGACATTTGTGCACTGTGTACTTCAGCATGCACTGACCCCACTCTATCATTTTACATGGCCTAACACTTCATGACTGAGCTGCTGTTGTTCCCAGTTGCTTACACTTTGTTATAATACTACTAATAGTTGAATGTGGAATATTTAGTAGCAAGGAAATTTCACAGATGGACTTATTGCACAGGTGGCAATCTATCACGGTACCACGCTTGAATTCATTAAGCTCCTGAGAGTGACCCATTCTTTCACAAATGTTTGTAGAAGCAGTCTGCATGCCTAGGTGCTTGATTTTATACACCTGTTGCCATAGAGGTCATTGGAACACCTGAATCCAATGATTTGGAGGGGTGTCGAAAAACATTTGGCAATATAGTGTATATTACTGTTGATACAATTGGTCGCTTTGGTGGAGATTAGCCAAGCCAGCACCTAAGATGTGATTGTGAAGTGTGGGATCTTATCTCGTCTAGAGTGGCATGTGAAGCATTTGAGGTTCAGTTTGTAACTGTAATTCACCATTGATCCTGATTGAATTATGCAGCAGCCATTGGAATATAGAAGTCCCTAATTTAAGTAATCTTTTATTGACTAGATAGAAACATATTACTTTGTTAGATACTTAGATAATTTGGTATGGCTGAACGTGAATAAGTAAAGTGAATAAATCAATATTTTCTTCTGTATATATTGTTACTTTATTTTTCATCTTATCTTTCATCATATATTGTTATCTGGGTAAAAGTACCTCTCTTTTATTGCTGTACCGTAAATTCATATTTTGTTGAATACCACTGTAGAACTTGAGTTAAAACTTTCCCTAGCACTACAGGTTAGGTATAGTATTAGGATTAGCATTATAAAACAAAACTGTGTGATTAGCATGCCAAGGCTGATTCTTTAAAAATTCACTGGGACTATGTTATGGGGTCTCTAGCCAAAAATTACAAGATAAAAAGAATAGTCCATTAAAAGATAAAATAACCAAACAGGCTTTTATTGCAATATTCACTTTCAATCTAGAGATTTCGCCCACAATAGTTTTCTGTCTCTACGTGTCCTCAGTTTAATGGCAGCATCATTCAACACACGTCCCCATGGACTGATTGGATCCTTGTGCTGCTTCTCCCTCTCACACTCCAACTGTTCTGTACAGGGTCTCATAGTCTGAAGTCAGGCTCAGAGGCCAGTGGCTGAAGCAATTGAGAGAGATATAAGTAGTCAGCTGGATTAATACACAATCAGATCTGCTAGCACAGATGTAGGCTTACCCAATGTCTCAATCATGCACACAGGGAGAGGTGCAGTTCTCCATTTTGCTCCAAATGTCTGCATTGTGGTATTTCTCTTAAACTCCTATGCAAACACGTGAAGGTGTAGTATTGTGCATATAAGAGCCAGACACAGGCTCTGGCTGTATTAAGAAGGTTTCATGTATCTCCTCATTACCCTCCCTCAGGAATGCAAGCAGCATACGATGCTGAGCCTGCCTAACAATTCTTTTTCCAAATAAGGTATTGGCTTGGCCGTGATAGGAAGATTCCAGTTGAGTTTGTCTTAGAAAAGAAGAGCTCTCTTTCTTTTGTGTTCAGTCAGAAAAGTGAAGTCTGTCGGCTCTGTACCATCTAGCTGACTAAGAGTCTTGTTGGACCATCGCAACTAATTGCAAGACCAGAAATCCCTTCTTTAGCTCATCAGACTTGAAACTGCTTAACCCCAGACATTTATTTGGCAAGTACTTATTTACCTAAACTTCTTTCTGTTATCTGTTTGCTGTGCTGTTGTGCTCTGTATATTTATATATATATATTGGTTACATCTTCTGTCTGTAAATATTCATACTGCACCCTTTTAACCTTTTGGTAATAAATCTTACTTTCTGAAAGTGTTGAATTGTTTCTATAGCTCCTAATTTCAATTTACGAATCCCTGCCTCTAAAAAGAACGCTACTATGAGTGTTTAACCCTCTGTAAAACCGGTCTGTAGAGATAGCGGTATACTGTCGATTAATCAATCATCCTAGTGTACTGCTGAGTTTCCTCTTTCTCTGTATAAAAAGGAGATGGTGGCAGTGTGAAGGGTTAATTGTGTAATTAACCTGACCCAGTAACAATCGCTACCAGGCTGCCGGTACATAGATTGTGTCCAATTAGCTGGAAAATCGTTGTGCAGGGTGCAGCTGGGTGTGGCATTGTTACGCACGTGACAGCGCGGTTTTAGATTGGCTAGTCCTTCGGTCACAAGTTTGGTGAGAAGGGCTGGGTCTGACGCCGCGCCCGTCACATATTGGTGGCAGCGATCGTGGGATCGTCACATATTGGTAACAGCGATCCTGCGTCCGTCACACCCGAGACGAGAGGTCTAAGCACTAGCCAGTCTTCAACAAAGTTCCTGATTATGGGGATGAATTTTGCTGCATACAGTCCTCAGGACCAGCAGGAAAAGAGCAAGTGGAGGTCAGGTAATTGAAACAAGGAAAAGAACAAGCAGAAGCATAGTCAATGAAGAAACCAAAAGGTCAGGATGGGATCAGATGAATGCATAGTCGATGAACAAGCCAAGGGCCAATAACTAGTGGTAGTGAAGGTAAGGACAGCTGCAGATATGCAAAGGAGAAAGATATCGGCTGGAAAGAGCACAATAATCTGGCAAACGGGAAGTACAGGAATAGGGCTTAAATCAGGAAGTTCAGAGGAGGAGCAAAGAGTTCAAGGTTGACCGGAAACAAAATACAAGGCAGGGTTGTCCAAGGGATCAGGCAGGGAGATGTCCAGTATCTCAGGTGGCACAGTACTTACATATGTCTAACAGATCTGCTAGCGGATGATGCAGGCTTACCTGAGGCGTGTGATCTAAGCACTACTTGGTCTTCACCAGAGCTCCTGATAATGGAGATGGGTTTTTCTGTTTGCTAATGCCAGGTCGCTGCCTTCAGGTTTACCCCAGCAGGAAGACAGCAATCAGGGCTCAGGTATTGGAGAAAACAGATAAGGAACAAGCAGAGGCTTAGTCAATGAACAAGCCAAAAGGTCAGTAACAAGCAGCAGCTGGATGGGATCAGGCAAAAGCATAGTGGATGAGCAAGCCAAGGGTCGATAACTGCTGCAAGTATGCAAAGAAGCTAAATATTTGCTGGAGAGAACACAATAAATCTAGCAAACAGGAAGTGCAGAGACATGGCTTAAATCAGGTAATTCATGGGAGGAGCAAAGAATTCAAGGTTCACTAGAAACAAAATACACGGCAAGGTTGTCCAAGAGATCAGACAGGAAGCTGTCCAGCATCTCAGGTGGCACAGTACCTAATTATGTCAAATATATTCACTAGCAGATGATACAGGCTTACTGGAGGTGAGGGGGGGGGGGGGGGCTAAGCACTAGATGGTCTTCACCAGAGCTCCTGATGGTGGAGATGGGTTTTGCTGCATGCTAATGCCAGGTCTCAGCCCTCTGGATTGCCCCGCAGGCTGGGGTCAGGTAGTTAATGAAACAGGTAAGGAACAAGTGGAAGCATAGTCAATGAACAAGCCAAAAGGTCAATAACAAGTAGTAGCTGAACAGGATCAGATGAAAGCATAGTTGATGAACAAGCCAAGGGTCAATAACGAGTGGTAGGGATAATGACAGCTGCAGGTATGCAAAGGAGCCAGATATCAACTGGAGAGAACACAATAATCTGGCAAATAGGAAGTGCTTGAATCAGGAAGTTCATGGGAGTAGCAATGAGTTCAAGGTTCACCAGAAACAATATACAAGGCAAGGTTGTCCAAATGACCAGGCAAGGAGCTGTCCAGCACCTCAGGTGCAAGAAGAGCTACACCCAAAAATAACAGGTCTCAGATTCCAGACCCTGACACAGGAACTACAAGAGGCTGATACCAAATCTAATTCATGCACTTACACTGTTTAAAATTTAAACTTAATTATGTATTAATAATTATAGTGCTACATTAACTTGAGTCTTTTATAGACATTCATCTTTAACATCGACTCGTTCATGTCCCATCCAATATATATCTCCTGGTGATAATATACTATGCCTGGTTGCCCTTTTTGAACTAGATATCTTTTCATCTTTTTAAAGTGGATTGTTTGCACTTACACATGCCGTTCACACATGCCGTTCTCCGTTCTATTACTCTATTTACATTAGCATCAAAATTGCTGATGAGTATTAACCTCTAATCTTACTCTGCTGGGTTTAAAGGCTAATTTTTTATTTCCTTTTACAAAATAATCTACAAATGTTCGCTTGTGTGGAAGCGTGAAGTCTATAAGTGAACACTGTACAATATAATGAGTTATAATGTCATTGACCTAGCTCGTAAAAATAAAAAAGCATATAACTATTTAATATTCTGGACCTATGTAGTTGTCCAATGAATTTTAATGGAAACTTAACAAAAGGAAAGACTGGAGGCGACCGGCTGAACTTTGAGCCTGATCAAAGTTTCATCTTAAAAAGGAGCAGGGAATAAGAAACAAACAGAAGAATAGAATGAACCGAAGAATGCATGGTATCCCCTTAGTACTATGGAAGAGGAAAGACATAAAGAAATCTGGTTCTCCTAAAGAGGAATGACTGATGAGAGAAAGAATGCAGAATGGCAATTGCATGGAGCAGGATATGGTTTAATGAAGTCAGTGCAATATAAAAGGTGGTGGGGAAATAAGCGTATAAATAACCTGTCGAGATAAAATAGTAAAAATGAGAACATAAAAATGCAAATACAAAATTCCTGAATGTGAAGAGATATTAAAACATGATTTTTTAATTTGTTATTATTAACAGAGATGAGCGAACGCTGAGTATATCTCTTCCAAGATTTGTTTCTGTCATAAATCATAGACATTTTCATGAGCTGTTATGAAGATTAAAATAAATGGAAACCATAAATGAATGACATTTAGTACAGTATGCTTAAGCACTGTGTATCAAAAACATTTACCATGGTGTTCTTTTAATAAAATGTCCGTCTTGCCTTTTTTATTCCTTTGTTCCACTGCTGATCTCTTGCAGCCAGTTTGCAGCCTCCTTCAGTATACATGCAGTAATAGGTGGAAATTACAGACATGCTGCATTTTCAGCAGTATGTCAGATGACAACGCAGATCTCCACAGAGCAACTGAAGTGCGGAGACTTGATAAGAGTTTAACCACTTGACCTCTGGAACGTTTTACTCCCTTCATGACCAGGGTATTTTTTTTGTTATTCAGCACTGTGCTACTTTACTTTACTGGCAATTGCATGCAACACTGCAACAAAATAAAATTAATATAATT